GCAGCCACTTTATATGCAGAGGACAATGAATCTTCATTGGTGCATACAGAATGACAGTAAAACGAAGCAATAAACGAAGTAATGCAATTTCCTGTGATATTTGAGTTGAACATGAATACATTTTGAAATGCATGTCTCGTACATGGTGGATGTATTTTAGCAGTTTCAAAACAATCCTGGGCACTTTGGGTTTCCTGAAAAGTAAACAGCAGTAATCACATTTCTTTTTTTTTTTTTTTTTTCATTTAAGAATCTTTTTTTTTTAGCTTTCAGCTTGAGCTCTGAGTACAATTAAGAAATCCTTTGAAGCGTCAGGTAAAGAAATTATTTAGTTGACTAAAAAGTGTACAGCTAGACATCAAGGTGTTTCATCACTTGTCACATAAAAATGCAGGACTCCACACGCAAAGTCCTTGTGGCTTGCTGACAGCAGTGAACCCCAGTGTGATGTGATGTTCTGTGTAAATAAAAGACTCTTTGGTAAAAACAGAAGGCAGAGCTTAACAGGCACTACTGGTTGTTAGCGGATTCAGAACAAGATAAGTGTAGCATTGAGCATTGCTTCTGCTGAGTCAACATATCTAATCCCGGAAATATCAGCTTGTCAGAATATTGAGAGTCTTTGTTCTTTGTATAGCTTATGTCATGAAGTTATGAACAACATTTACGGGGTAACTTGTCCACATTTTTTCCTTTTTAAAGTGTTGGCATGTCACCCTGTCAGAGCAGATCCAAAAGACAGGAGTTCAAAAGCAGCTTGAGAAAGTCTGCAAAACTAGGAGAATGCTTTTCATTTTTGTTTCCTTTCAGGAACTACATGGCATATGATGAATTATAGCAAAAAAAGATAAACAAGTGTTTAACATTTCATTCCGCTTAAGTTATGAAATCAGCAGTTCCGACTCTTGTAGGAATACAGCATGGAAGATGGTGGAAGACGATCTCGGGTTTTTCTGTTTTTTTTTTTTTGTTTGTTTTTTTTTTCTAAAATTGATTTATAGCACAGGCTTTTATAATGTTTAACATACAGCAATTTAAAAAAAAAGTAAACCCTCTTTCGATTCTCAGGTTATATGTACTTTGTATACGTCTAGGAAATATATCTTTTAGTTGTTGTAATTTTAGTATTCATAGGTAGACAAGCAGAACCGTAAACTAAGCATCCTATAAATCAAATAGTAGTTTTCAAGTGTGCTGGGTATTAATCCTTTTCACCATATTGCTCTGCATATTAATGCAAAGAGCGTGTCAATATTAATTAGCTAATTAGTCAGGTTATCTGGATAAAGGTAACCAACCTGTTGTTCATTATATTGCATTTCCTGCTCTTGAAAAATATTGTATTTATTACTGTGAAAGGATTCACTCCTAATGGTCTTGAAATAGCCTTAGTACTGTCTCAGATTGATGGGCAGAAATAATAGCTTTCCACAGTATTGATTCCAACCTGCCAAGAATTAGTTATTTAAGTGCTTTTGATTAGTCACAACTAGTTGCTTTTAATCACTATTCCTGAGCAGTAAAGGTAGACCTCTTTGTTCACACACTGCTTCTGCCGTTTAATTGTCTGCCTTTTCCTCTAATTTTTCTAAATAAAAAGTCTTATAAGTAATATGTAATGTGTTCCTGTTCCTCTGAGGTTCCCAGTTGCCTTATGTTAAACCCTGCTAAGAGCCAAAGGCTTGTCTTTTTACATAAGAACTTAACATTGAAAGAGAGCCTACTTTGTGACAGCTTTCCATTGGAGGGCATGTATCACTGTGTGTATCTGGATGTGTCCGTCACTGTGTTGTCCATATGTCATTCGTCATTCGTTTTGAATGTCTTATTTTTTTTTTCTTTCATTTGATATTTATTGTATGCCACAAAAAAGCCATAAACAAAGATAAGAAAAAACATATTTCATGGCTGCAGCTTACGAAGTGAACGCTTTATGAAAAAGCCGTTCATCAGTATGAGGCAGAACACTAAAGTTTTTTTTTTTCTTCTTCTTTTAAAGGATTTTTGCTAAATATCCATGATGAATTCTTTTTCTTAAATTAGGCATAAACAAAAGACAAAAAGACTGTTTCACAGAACAGGAACCACAGTGGCATTCGCGGTCAGAGAGAATATTCAGAGGGTCGAACCAAGTCAGGCGGTAGAGCAAGGAGTGTTTTCTGACTAGTCAGTAATGAATTCTGCTTCACCGTGTCAGACAAGGAGGGGAAATGTAAGAGCTTCAATGAGCCCAGCAAAGTAATAGGCCGTACAATTTATTTACATCAACAGGGAATCAGTGATAGCAGTGGACTATTAGTCAGCCATACAGTGGGAAACAATCGTGTCATGTCTGCATCAAACTCGCCTGAGGCGGTGCTGCGCCTGTATGTGTGCGCCTGGGCCTGAAGTGTTGTTAGTGGTGACGCTAGCCAGGAGTGGCGATGCAGCGATAATGCCCAGCGAGAAACATGTCCCCTCAAGACCCCCACCGCACCCGCAGCCCAGTCCTCACCGGCTGCTGAATGAGTTAGCAGCTTCAGATCAGTGTCGCTTAATGTGGTTCTTCACAGGACCTTACAAAGTCCCATTCCTAGATTTGTAGAATCCACAGTAAAACCTTTTTTGGCTGAATTAATTGGGTTAATCGTGATGAATCAGTTATTGAATTAATTGTCAACCAATTTAAGTAATGGATAAATCGTTAATCTGGAGCATGCAGATTCAAAACAGTTCCTTTTTCTGAAAGAGCATGGTCAGAGAAGTCTTTTGTTTGTAAAAATGCTCGAACAGAAGTCTTCCAGTGGCATATGTTTAGCAACACCTGGTTAAAATTCTGTTTAAATGTTTATTTTCTTTTTTTTTGAAAAAGGAATGTAATTGTATACTTGCATTTATAGTACAATTTTAATATTTTTGTTCAATAATCTTAAGTGGTTAAATGTAAATTCTGCAGAATGTGGCTACTTTTTAATCCAATTAGTTGATTAATTCAGACTAATCGATTAATCAATTACTAAAATAATCGTTAGTTGCAGCCCGGGATACTTTACCATTATATATTTACCAGCAACTTTATCAGGTACATCTGGCTTTTACTGGGTTGAACCACTTTTTTCCTTAGAATATATTGATATAATGGCATCATACATTTGGTGAAGAATTATTGGCTGCACATGTCTCATGTCACATCCTAAAGGTGTTCTGTTGGGTTAATAATCTAAAAATCCGTTTTTATGGCTTGGTACATATCGTTCTGGAAATAGTCATCAGAAGATGGGTAACATATGTTTAAAGTCTTTTAACAACGAGGCAGCTGAATATATATCAATCACTTTTCAAAAAAATGCATAAGCTCTACAAATGTAAAGTATTCATGGTGGCAAGTTGTTCGGTCAGTGAACGTTCGACTATTTTTGACCCATATCTGAAGAAAGGGAGCACGATAAATTGATTAACACGCTAAAAGCTTTGCCGTCTGTTTTGCATGCGAGGCAACATGTTTCTAGATGACACTGATGTTGTATTCTTCTTTAAAGTTTGTGGTGGTTAGTTGTTTTACAGCCGGTTTGGCTTCAACAAAAGGCATGTCAGATAAACCAGCTCTTGGTTTCTCCTGTGTGATTGTCAGATTCACTGTTGATGTTGAACAATAGAAGAGGTGTACCTAATAATTTGGTCATTGAGTGTACATTTGTGGGCGTAAGAATGAAACATCTCACCAAACAACACTGAATTTCTAACCACCAGGGAAAAGCACCTCCAGTCAGTTAATACTATTTGTTTTAGCGTGAAAGGGCTTTTGTCAGAGGAAAAGAAAGGATCTGAGTGGCAAAGGCTTCCTCAAGTCCTTGGGGAGGTACAGTATGCGCCTATTAGAGATGTTTAACTTGCCACCTCCCTCTCCTTCAGGCCAGAAGTCAGGTAAATGACTTTTGGATTTCACTATGCAGGTCTGCTGAATGTCCCAGTTTGGACCGTTTAATATTAATGCTATAAAAAAAAACAGAAGAAAAAAAGGTGTTTCACAAAATGATGCTCTCAGTGTTTAAGCAGCTGATGCAGAGTTCTTTACCCACTGAGAGGTTAGTGGGCCATGGCTAGCTTCTGGAAGGCCTCCAGATGGAATTACGAGGGCAAACTGTGTGATAGCGGGACAACCAATGAGGCTGTCCTTGTATTCCACGCTGGTCCATTTGCTGCACTGTATGAGTAGTCTTTTTTTTTTTTTTTTTTTCTTGCTGAAGTAGCACAAAGGACAAAAGGACCAGGTCAGGACTTCTGGTTCCTTTAAAGCGACAAGGGCAAATGAGTATGGAAAAAGAAGGAATCACGTCTCCAAGCTAATGCCCTGTGCAGAGAAGTTGTAGAGTAATTTGCATCCCAGAATGTGTGAAGCCTGCTGTTTTCCCTCTCGTTCTGCACTAAAATAACCCTGACTTCAATCACAAACAACTCCCATATAGCAATCCAATTTGGCAGAGTTTGAGTCATGAATTTTTTTAGGAGGGGGTGGGGGGAGAATCTACTTTTTAGAATTATGCAAGTGTTCTTTAATAGGCAGGAGGATTTTTGCAACAGTGTATTGAAGCCATTGACCTTTTCTCCTGCCAATTTTATGTCTTTGAGTGGATTGAGACTATGAAATCTTTTCAGCAGTGTTCTTTTTTTTCACATTATACCATTGACAAGGCACTTTCAGTCAAGATTCAACCAAAAAGCTTTATTTTATGAATGCAGACACTGTTTCACCCAGAGTATTATTGAATCTTAAGTATCCCAATTCCACAATTTCCTGCTCACTCTAAATCCCTTAATGGTTTATGTTGTACATTGTAATAAACAACGGATGATTCAGTGCCATACAAACATTTTATACCTCCTTCATCCTTTTGCCTTTTTGTTACTATCATGAAAGGGTATCTGTGTGTTAGAATGGCTCTATTAAAGTCCAGACTTCAGTCCAGTGTAGAATCTGTATTTCTCTTTTGCTGCAATAAGACCATAAACAGCTTTTTATTTCACGTTCATGTTTTTTAAACAATTTTTATTTCTCTTCCCCCGTTACAATTTAGTGCCCTGACTCAGCCTGCAAGCAGGATCTGCTGGCCTACCTGCAGAGAATCGCCCTGTACTGTCATCAGCTCAACATCTGTAGCAAGGTGAAGGCGGAGGTGCAGAATCTGGGCGGAGAGCTCATTGTTTCTGGGGTAAGTTTGTCATTTGAAAACAGCACATGTTCTTCTCCATCATCCCTGATTGTCCCAGACAGGTTTTTAATCACCAAACCCCTACAGTTGACTATTTAAGCTATTTTTTTTTTTTTTTTTTGCTTGAGGTCACAATGGAGCTGAGATGACAGGTTAAAGGATTATGCAGAATGATGCTAATGCAAAATAATAATAATTATTATTATTATTACTTTAAAAAAACAAGATCATTGTTTCACAATTAAACTTTGCATCACGTAAACAAGATCTCCAGGTGGTTTTCTAATCATTATTGATGCAGTCAAAGTTAATTTATTAGTAATCAGTGCGTGACATCCTACCTTTACCACAGTTAGCTCAAGTGAAAACTTAATTAGATGAATCTGATGATGGTTATGCACCACCACACTTAACCACGTTATAGTTTTGGTACCACCAGAGTAAATCCAACCTATATGTCAATTTGAAACAAAGGGCTGTCTGTTATTGCGCAATAGTCAGCCAGTGTTCATGTTGTTTCACTATGAGTTGAATATTAATCAGAGAAATACATATCTAATCAAATACCAATCAATTCACTGAGTGTGTTTGCTTAGCAGTTCTAATTATACAATGTGTGGAAATTCAAAATGTACCATAGTGGATTTATTGCACATTTCAGAGCTTTCTACTTCAGTAAAAGGTGTCTTTGTTTAATAATTATATGCATGTCCTAATTCAACATGCTTCATTGTTGGTTAGGAAAACATAGAAGGTTTTATAGAAGAATTTAACCTCATCTTGTGTGTTTAACTCACATGTCTTCCAGATGCTGATCCATTATTGATTCATCTCTGTCTGTTCATTAACAGGCATCTTAAATTTAGCTATTTTATCAATTAATTTCCGTGTTGTCCCGAAAGACAAAGAAATACATTCAAATGATTAAATTTTAGTATTTATTGGCTTTACGTTCTGTTTTGAGAGATTTTAAGATTTTATAAATATATGTCCAGTATCGTATTCTCATTTTAATTTCTATATGAAAACTAGGGAATTACAAATTAGTCAGCCCAAGAAATATATTTGAACTTTTTTCTTTTACTTGAAAAATTGATAAATGATATATAGTTGGACTAAATATTTAAAAAGTAATTAAATAATTACTGGAAACCTCTCTTTTCCCTCTTCCCTTTCCGGGGGGAAACCACTGATGAAAATTCCAATGTCTTTATTCATCACTATCAGCATTTTTGTTTATGAAATCTCAGGCAGATTCCAAAGATGTATGTTGACTCAACAATATACATCTTTAATAACTAAAAAAACATATTAGGACCTCAATTTGGAATAAAATGCAGTACATAGCAAATCTGCTCTTGGACAGGTTTCGTGTCTCTTTCTGCTAGAAATATCAGAGGCTCAGTTGTTTCCCGGCAAAGACGAAACTTTGAGGACTAGAATAAGAACTTCAAAGATGAGATTCCTGGAACTGTTGTTTTGATTCAGCAGCCCAGTTTTATGTGCATTTCATCATCCTGTATAATAGTTTGAGGTTTAAATGAATTCTTGACACTTTATTAGTTAACTTCGGACATGATAGTGCCACCACTGTGATTTACAACTGCTAAGTTATTCTTGTGGCTTGATGCCTTATTGTTATCATTTTGACTAAAAGTTTGTCGAAGTAAGACTATAGGATAGTTTGGTTTAACCTAAAGGTGCTGATTTTAGAGAGGGACTCCTTTGCAAGATATCGGTACTAGACAAATATGCCTTACAAATAAAAACATCCAATTTCGTTATTCTTTGAAAAAGAAATTACAAATGACAGAAAATGTTTTCAAAAACTTGGTTTTATTTCAATCATCTCTTCCGGAAGTTGACCTGGTTTCTAAGTCCAAATAACTGCAAGCTGTGAAATCTGGTTGTAAAACAAGAGGCCTTGAGTGGGATGATGTCACTCTGAAGCTCTCGCTGCAAAAAATTCAGATTTTCAGAAAATTAAATCTTCATAAACAGCAAATTCAATTATTCAACAGAACCGATTTATCACCCAGCCCTAGTTTGAACTAATTATCTTTAATGTGCTCTAATTCACAAAATTGCTTTAAGACATTTTTTGCTGTCTAAATCCTTAATCACCCTTCTCTTATCTGCATTGTCACGCAGTCATCGGTACACAGAAGACGACGAGAATAAACAGGGCACTTTCATTTCATTTTGCCCCATTTACATTATGTCGCTTGCCCACTTAAAGTTCAACTTGACTTATTTTATTATTTATACTTTGGCTTCCAATGCGTGTTTAGTTGATACTCCATGATTTCTCTGCTTTCTCGTAGCTTTTCTTCACATTAGATATGCAAGTCCTGCTGAGGTTTCAACCTTTTCATGGTGGCCAGCTGGACTCCACACTCATTAAATTGAAACAGTTGACTCATCTCAGTGTGATGTAGGAGGAGGCCCCCTGGCCGCCGGCCCTTAAATGTCAGGCAAACAAAACAGAAGTAGACATAGGTAGACCTGACCCTTGCGTCTGCTCATTAAGAAATACTAAAATAAGTCGTCATATAGCGAGGGCCGTATTTTTATCCATCTTAATTGCTAGATGCATCGGAGATCCCGAAAGGTACTTCACATAGCTTCTGCATCCTGATGTTGAAGGCGAAGCCAAGAAAGTAATTGCTCTTTTCCCTCATGTCACACATTGCCTTTTTGACATTTTTCTTTATTCTCCCTCCTGTAGTTGGACAGCGCCACCTCTCTGATCCAGGCAGCCAAAAACCTCATGAATGCTGTGGTGCTGACTGTAAAGGCATCCTATGTAGCCTCCACCAAATACCAGAAGGTTTACGGCACGGCCGCGGTTAACTCACCGGTGGTTTCCTGGCGCATGAAGGCTCCCGAGAAGAAGCCTTTGGTCAAACGGGAGAAACCAGAGGAATGCCAGACGCGCGTGCGACGAGGCTCCCAGAAGAAACACATATCCCCCGTCCAGGCCCTCAGTGAATTCAAGGCCATGGACTCCTTCTAAAAAAAAAATATAAAATTAAAAAAAAAAAAAAAAAACACGATGGTATAAGTCGGTGAAAAAAAAAGTCCCTTTTCACATTGTGTTAATCTACTTCCGTTTGCTGTGTGTGCTTGGTGACACCGCAGGAGGACTGCAGTACATATTTAACTGCCTTTACTGTGGCTCGGCTAACACTGTGGTCTTCATGGCTCACAGAACACCAACACACCCGATAGTATTTATTGATCTTATTGTAGCTTAATGTGAGAGCCAAAATGTGACAAACTACTTCTGAAAACCGGGACTTAATATTTATCAAAAGAGGAAAAGGGGCAAATAACAAAAAAGAAAAAATCCCAGTCGATATTCTAGCTATATCATTAACGTGCTGCAGACTGGCTGCTTGTGAACACACTAAAACTGAATGGAAACTGAATGAGTAGAGGAATCATTCTATGCTGAATAAATTGGTGGTTTTGACCCCTCTTGATTTTTTTTTCTTCCAATCTGAATGTTAACCTGTAGTTTTAGGAATATCCTATGTTAAAAATCCTGAGAAGCATCAGGATCCGAATAGTTTCCTTCCTCATAACGATTACTATGACAATAATCCACATGGTGTTTTCTTTTTTCTACCAAAGCACATTTATGGTCTAATGTATTCCCCCTTTAAAATCTCTTTTATTTATAGATTTCATCACTAACTATGATGAGCTTGTTTGGAAGTTGTGTAGCGTATCATTTAGACAGAGAGGATTGATTAGTTGTGGTTTGCTCTGAGAATAGAATCCCTGCATACAGTAACTTTATATTCACCCTTCTCTAATAAATTCCTTAACTTGACCCTCTAAGTTTCCTGTGTTGTTCTTACCAGCATGTATGTATACTTGCTCCTCACTGTCGGGGAGTAAGAAGGTAGACATTCACAAAGAAATGCAGCCCATCAATCTCCAACACCAAGTTGCATTTATTTTTGCATAAGTTTGAAGTTCTTCACAGTAAATGCAGAAGTGATCAAAGAAATGCAGCTGAACATCTTTTTTTTTCGTAGTTTAATTAGCAGAGAGAGATTAAGTCCGTTCCTGAACTGACAATGCACTCCCTGTCATTTGGGTGGAGGAATTATGTAATAACGTTTTTTTCTAATTTAATAAGTGGTGCTGCAATATGCAAGATAATGGAATGAATCAAAATGTTGCAATGTCTCCACTTTTCTTCTCCTGCACTAATATTTCTACGAGCTTTCAGCTGACGGTATTTTTTTTCCATGACAATTGCGCAACATAAATGGTTCCAGTCATTCAGAATGCAAAGCCGTTTCCTTTAGCTGTTGTCTGCATAAATAAATAGGGATGGGATTTATCCTAAAAGTGTGCTTTGTACCTCATTTAAATTTGGAAAATTGTCAGCCCAGGGAGTTTCTTTCTGCAAAGGGTCATTTCTAATGAGCAAATCTGTCTCTGCCATGTTCAAAATTAGAAAAGGCTTTAACAAGTTTGCAGTCGAAACAAATACCCTAATTAATTTAACTGTAGGAGTATTTCAGTGGGTACAAATTGTAGTTAATTTAAAGGACCAAGCATCATCTTTACAGATTTAAAGACCTGTATTGAGAAAGTCTTTAAATGCAAAAATGTTTTGATCCAGTGTCATAGGTCAACTTTCGTACTTTATTGTGACTTGCGGTGTTAATATTTTTGAGATGTTTGCGCCAGTTCTCCTAAACAAATGGCTTTTTCCGTCAACATCCTAAATGGATGACTTCACACAGAGATTCCCAGACGACATACCTTTAGCTTGTCTTTTATTTCACAAAGGTCAAAGTTCTCCTTGAACTTTTCTTTTCCAAAGCGAAACATATACTTTCATCCGGACATTAACGTTTCCCTTATTGTTTTTCCGTTGCCATCGACATGACATCCACTGACCTTGGCTCTTTCTTTGATATCTACAAGGACTATAAACGGCCTGGCATTTCCTTCTCTTTGTGGTTTAAGCTTTGTGTCTTCACCACAGAGAGTTGCTGCAGAAATTTGTGAACTGCCGTCTGTTCAATGAAGTCCAAGAAACTGAGGTCGTCCTGCTGAAAACGCCTTTCAGCCATGTCACATCTACACTTAAGCTTCTCCGAATTGGATTTCTTCATACCAACAAACATCAACTGGAGAATAAATGTTCCCTTTTTATTAATTAAATAATTATAATTCATTTATTTAAGGGTTTTAGCATTTTATGTGTCAAACTAACGCAAAGAGGTAACTAATTGTGAAAGTGGAGAAGAAAACATGCAGAGTTTTCAAATGTTTTACCAATAAAGTTTGGTATGAAGTTGTGTCCATCCCACCTTACTCTGACCTGCTGTGACAAATAAAACAAGACTATTTATACTTGGGCAAGCCAATAAATGAAAAGCAAATCCTCGTATTTCAAATCCTTACTTCACCTGAGAAACTAAACATTTACTTTAAAAAGCGTAAACTATGCCATCTTTGCTTCTAAACATTTAACTCAATTTTTATATTCAGTAGATATAAATGCAAACTTTTATCAGACGATCAGTAAAGTTTGAAGAACTTGGGAGTTCAAGTTGAACTCCAAAGTTCTTCTCAGGCGTAAAAGCCCGTATTGACCGATGAAGCCCATATCAATTCGGCTTAAGCCCGCTGAGTGTCACAGGCTTGAACAGAAGGTTTGGGGAAAAGGGACCAACAAAATGAGCTGAGTGATCAGCAGTCAGAAAGGGAACAACATAATGTTATGATCTTACGGTGACGATGTTGGTCCCCTTTAAGGCAATAAGATCAGTGTGAGGACAACCAACGTGGAGTGTTGCAGAGCTTGTCTGATTTTTGGCATGCCGCTGGGGCCTGGCTGCAAACTCGCTTCACGGTGAGTGATTTCAGCGAATTGGGTCGTTTTAAGAGTCGGCACAGTGCTTTCCTTTTACATAGCGGAGTCGTCGAGTCCCCGAAGGCCTCGCAGCCTCACTCTGCCATTAAAAAACGGAGAACAGATCAGCTAATTGCCGCACGCGACCTTGATCCTCTCGCAAATCAAAATCATCGACGAGCTGAGCTGTCCCAATAATGGTTCACGCAACACTGGTTTAGATTATTCTGCAATTCAGCCTCTGATAATAAATGAGGTTCTTTATGTTTCCACATTGTAGTGCTAATGACCATTAAACACAGCATGCATTAGGCATCTGTGCATCACCAGAGTACCCTCTATTTAGGAAACAGGGCCACAGGGGAAAAGTAGTAACACAATCCAGTTAATGGAGGGATTAATTCCTGGCTGTGGTGCCGTCTCTCCACCAAAATAATCCCTGTGTGTATCCGTCTCCACAATCCAAATAACACAAACCATGATGGCTGACAGCCTGCTCTCTGAAAATTAAAAAGAAAATAAAAAAGAAATAATTAAAAGGACATAATGATGTTAGCAGAAACACCAGCGCGACGTGGGATTTTTACTACTTTGATTTGTTAGATGTCTAAAGCAGGATGTGGTGTATTGAAGGGATTAAAACCGAGTTCTAATCTAGTTAAACAGACCGCCCTCAGAGCAGGCACAGAAATAGATGGAGAGGAAAATGACTGCCCAGGCCTCAGAGGGAGAATGTTGATGAACAGCCCACAACCAGCTGCTGCAATATGTTATTCTGCCTTTCGTGCCACCGTGTCAGAGGCCTTGTGACATCGCACACTTTGCCATCTGCACATATTGACATCGGCGCTCTGAGGGACCTCTCTTATGGCTGCAGAAAGAAACCGTGTCACAGTTGCATGCCCCTCGGTACCCAATCAGCACGGTTTAAAGAGATATAAAAGGTTATCAATGGAACATCATTCTTGTTCTCTGAAGTATGCATGGCTCTAGACGTAGGAAGCGGTATTTTCTGTTTTACTTGGATTCCCTTATCTTTACACAGACACCAGTGATATCAACAATACATATTTCAGAGCGGATGATTGTATTCCGCTTGAATTCCCCTGACATTACTGCTACAGATTCATGGCAGACACTTTTTGGGGAGATATAAAAATGAAGCCGCAGATTTCTTGCCTTCCTAATTTATTCATACGTTTTCTGCCAAAGGTCACACCGGATTCGCAATCTTATTTTCCTTAACAAGTCACCAAGTGGAGAGGTTCTTGATAAATCATGATCTCCTCTGAAAGTTGGGATGTTTTGCAAAAGTATGTTTTAAAGCTCAGCGCCAGAAAACAGTTTTTCATGCTTCCTCGATTCTAACTCCAACAACGGGTCTTTAGAGGTCAAGTGGACGCAGTGTGGCTGCCCAGATTCACTCTCCGCCTGTCACACTCAGTCCATTTTCACATTTCACACATCCAGGTAGTGATGATATTAAGTGCCTGTTGGTTATACATTCAATTTACAACACATATTGTGGTCAATATGTTGAGATACCGACATGAAATATTCAGTACCAAAAACGTTTTAAACCACCCATACTTTTTCTTTACTTTACTTTTCTTAACTTGTTGGCATTTTAGGACAATAATGCCACCAAGTTAAAATAATTGCAGGTAAGTGCTTCAATCATTTTAACTCTGTTTGAAGCAGGGGTAAAATATTCCACTGAGATCATTTTACTCTTAAAAGAAGATGATACATCATCAGTTGTTGTTGCTCTTTTTGTCCAAAGATAACACTTATGGTGCTGTAAAAAAGGATGTGCGTCTTGCTTGACACTGAAAAAAATTGGATAAAACAAATGTTATCAAAATGACTTGAATGAACAAACAAAAGCAGCTTTTACGTGAAAACCAGCCATACTTTGCATCAAACAGCAATCACCCCTGTACCTAATTACATTTTCCCCCTTCGTGAATGTTAAATTTAGCTGAGTTCTGCAGTGGTTTAAATGTTTTATTTTCTGTTTTTTGTTGTTGTTGTTTTTGGTGCACTCATGTGACTTGAATAACAACCGATAAACATAGACACATTTTTGCGCTGCACCGCATGTTTTTTTTGCATCGCCCTTGGTAATCTTGATGTGAATCCTCACACATTGCAAAAACAACTACAATTTACAACCTTTTCTTAGGATATAAAGAATCTTGCCTGTTTGCGTCCCTCATTTATCAGTGGTGGTGACCTCATCCTTCTATCATGGAGTCCAATTTGTTTCATGGTGCAGGTTGAAACCAGCACTCCAGATTAATCCCTGTCAAACTCAAGCCCTGCAGATGCTGTGCTTTTGGTTCACAATCTGTATTAATCTTCCCCAAGTCTCTTCTCTCTGCGCCATCCTGTGACACTGCTAGATAACACCAACGAGTGGAGAAGAATATCCTTAAGTCGTGTTTTTTGTTCAACTTTTTGTATAATCGTGTATTCAAACAACATATACAGGACTGAGAACTGTTGTAACTTTTTCATGGATAATTGTCACTACCAGTGAACAGCTGTTTAAATGCTGTTTCCATGAGCATCTGCTGGTTCAGATTTTATACTTAGTTATTTCATTGGACTCGACTTTGTTACTCTAGACACTGCCACTGTCTGGACATCCATCTCTAAAAGTACTAGATACCAAATTGTTGTTATTAAAATTGAATAGTAAACTGTTATCAATACTCCATCATGCATCACTGGCACTTCGTCGGACTGACAGATTTCTGTTGACTTATTTATCACTCTGTTCTGAGATAACGCTCATTTTCCTCTTTTGTTTAGAATGTATTTTTGTGGAAATATTCATTAATGAAATGTATATTTGCATTGTGGGAGAAATGAGGGTTTTAAGAGTCAAGATGAAGAACTGAATGGGAAAGCATTTGACAAAAGTACTGTATGTACATTTAAGAGAAGGTTAATTGAATAATAAAAATGTATATATTATATATGTGGCTTCTATACATAATTGTATTTTTTCTCACCCAAATATAATATTATTAAGTTTGTTTGTCATACACGTGTTTGAAGCTCAAGGAGCAGGAAGTTCACCTGAATGGACAAGTAAAACACTCTTTGAAAAGATGTTTTCCATCTTTAAAGATGATTGAAAACATACTGATTAATATGAGCTACTCACATTAATCATAACTCCTACATAAAAGGGTTATATTAATTCACGTGTCTGCAGATATGAGCTCAGAATTTGGTCAGAAAAAAGCAAGTGAAGCAACCAGGTTAGGGTGATTATTCAACCAAAGGTGAACTTTAACTGCTCCATTGTAAGTGGATGCAAGCTGCAGTCCCCTGCATCATAGTCAGATGTGCTATATGGCCCAACACCATATCCATATATCTCACTGTGCTAGATAAAGGTCACAGTACCTCCTGCATTCGCATGGAACACTTGCAGTGGACATAAATCATGTGCTGCACAAATATGTAACGTGAATGTGAAACCAAGATATACTTGAATGCACACACACCACTTACAGTATTGTTCTTATGGAAATACATCACAGGTTTATTCATGCTATCAGAGTCGTCGAGCTGATCTGACCCACATAGCTCTGCCATATATTTTTATAGTCTGAGAAAATCAAAGAAGACGCGCTGCAAAAATTTGGTCAGGTTATGTAAAGTGAACAAAAACACAATGGGAACAGAGTCTTTGTCCTACATAATTAAAAAAAATGCATTCATGCTAAAAAGGCTATAATGTGTATACTTCTGTTTTAGGCTAACAGCAGCAGCCTCCACAGAAGTCATTTAAATGTGTACAGAAGCCTTCCACAGCTGCTGTACACGGAAAAGAAATAATATTAAAAAAAAAAAAAAAACACACACACACAGCTGGTTTGCTGGCTACATGTTCTAAGCACTTTGGATGCTGTCAAAGGACACCAGGATTCCCAGGCAGAACCTCCTCAATTACCTGCTCAGCAGGATGGCAGTGATGGACAGGGAGAAGGAGGGGAGAGGGCAGGGGCTATGCCGCTGTCTCTGGGTGTAATGGACAGTGGTGCTGCCAGCTGAAGAGTTTGGAAGGGGACCATGTCCGTAGTGTTGTGCTGACCTTTACAGTGATAGGCAGTTTAGGGATTGTGGGCTGTTATTTTGTCAGTTTCAGACTTGTCAGTATGAGAGAGAAAGAAGGTGAGAGATGGGCACCGCCAGCAAAGGGTAGGTAGTTGTAACAGCCGTCCTATTAGAGAGAGATACCTGGCCGGGGGACTTTTTGCCAAACCTCTGTGGTCAGCTGACATTGTCATTTGCAATGACAAGACGTATAACTTTGCAACCTTTTTGAGAAGCAAAATAAGCGTTTAGTAAAATAATAAATGAGTCATTTATGCTTTTATCCCGATTTTAGCTGATCTTAGACTAATTGTGTCTACCAGTTCCCTCAGGTTACAGCTGTCTTCATGCAGCCTCTTTCCCTTGTGAGTGGGTGAGTCTTCTTAAGGCGCTCCAGTTTCCTCCAGCAATCTAAACGCTTGCATGCTAGCATAAGCAGAGTCTTAACTTGCAATAGGTAAGGATGGAAGCATGCAATAATGTTGTATCTTTATCAATAATGTTGTAGTGTCTTGATATTTTTATTGTTTTCAAATGTATAATATGGAAAAAATAGCCCCCTTATTCCTCTTTGTTTTCGTCTTGAAAACATTTATAAATTAATATTAATAAGTGTTAATTTATTGTAACTAACACGTTTTAATTACAATAAATTAAAACACGTGAATTTATTGTAATTGTGTATATTAAATAGCATACAACTACAGTAACACGCGTTTCATGACACAAGGGGAGTTATCTGATAACCAGTCTGACTTCGTGGTCAGCCATGTCTGTCCAAAAGCTGCATTCATTCAGTTTCCATGTGAACCAGCGTTTCTCCCACTGGTGTCAGTCTTTGTAATTTTTAGTATTGTATCAGGTTCTTGCGGCAGGACATGCTGCTTTTCTGTTTGCAAATAAAGATATAAGTTGACAGAAAATATGACCAGCAGAGGAGGAGATGACTGAAAGAAAATGTGGAGGATATTAAGTCAGCAAGAAATATTTAGCATCCTCCAGCTTCAGACCATTCTGGATTGATCCAAAATAGATCCTGTCTCTGTAGCAGGGCTATTTGACTTTGTCTGTGACAACTGACAACTTTTTTTTTAACAGTTGTTGCATGGAAGGGTTAGTTTAATCTTGATTACACACTGTATACAGTCAAACTCTGAAATAATATGGGTTTCCAAACAATTCTGTTTCATTGCCTTAAGTGCCAATTTAAAGTTTTCACTATGTACAAGTTTTATTTTTCTTTAACCACGTGTAATCAACCTGAACTTCGCTCTTAACAGCAAGGATTACCAAACCATGCTGGAGGTCCACAAAAAAAAAAAAAAAAACTGACTAATTTCTTCATTTACTGTGCAGCCCAGCAGATGGTACCTTAATGGCTTACTGTTCAAAATACATAACAGAAGGGACAGGGCTGTCATTGCTTAAATTACTCAGCAAAAGAGCCAGAGTGGCACAGACTGAAATCTCCTTTGCAAATTTGAACAAGGTCATATTAAATTGTTCAGTAGTTGCCCAAAATGGCTGGAGAACCAGCTTGATTTATGTCTGTCTGTAATTGAATGAGGAAAGAGAGTGACCTCTGCTAAGCCTGAAAATTCTAGCACACACATGGGGTGTGGAAGAATTATTTCCTCCCATCACCAACCATGATCCTCTCTACAACTATTAACTATATAATGAACATTAGCTTTCAGAGAGAGTGGACACCAGAGGAGCTCATCGGCTGGAGTCCATACTTACCCATCAGGAGGGATGTGCTTTCATAGAGCGTAAGAAGCGAATGATGACACTTTAAACAGTGTGCTGCACGGTCAGCAGATTTTTTTTATGTGTTTTTTAGCTGCAACTACATAAAGCAAAGCTAGCTACTCCTATAAATCAAGCTACAAAATAAAACCACTTGTTTTAATGGGTCATCATATCATGAGGTTTTTCTCTTTAGGGAAGTATCCACCAACTGAGGTACAAGCTGTTGGAGTCAGTTGGAGCTGAAGTGTATAATGTAGGGGACACTCAAAAGCTGTGCAAAAAAAAAAAGAAAAAAAAAGAATGGAAGATATGTGAAGAGCTAATTTTCATTATTTTTACATGTGGACTCAAGTGTAATCTTTTGGAACTTTTAGGAGAACAAATGAGTCTTGATCTTGCACATCTTTTATATGTATCTTGCAGATTAGATAAGCAAAAATCTTGTCCTGCTAGTTGAACTTCATTAATACTGGAGGTTCATTAAACATATGACAATAAGTGTCTGTTCTAAATTATAATAAAATGCAGGCTTGTTATGTCCAGTCACTTGTTCAGCAGATTTGATTTAAACCACACTGTCAATTATACTGAATGCTAAGTTTGGATGGTTTCTGACTTGCTTTAATTTTTGACCATTTCATGTTTTATTGATCAAATAATTATTATTATTATTTTTATTTTGCCTATTATTAAGTGGGAATTTAATGGTTTTATACAGGCATGGGGTAATTAAGTAGGTTTTTGTCCAAATTCATCTCAAATTATTTACATGGGACCCTCTTAACCTTTGGCAGCTCTCTTCTTTTGGAACCTTTTACACAAACAAACGTTGAATTACTGTATGACTCAAAACCCTGTAATCTCAAAAACTCTGCAGTGTTGTGCAACAACACAAGCAAAAAAGTTAGAAATTCAGTTGCTGATACAAGTTAAATAAATAGATAAATAAATATATATATATATATATATATATATATATATATATATATATATATATATATTTTTTTTTTTTTTTTTTGAAAACTACATTATAAATAAATGTGCTTATCCTTTGTAATGGCTCATGAGGTAGTACTTTTTTTTTATCTTATAAGCAATATTGTAAACTTTTTGGTTGTCAATAAAGTCTTTTATAACCCTCTCCCCTCCCCGTAAGGTCTGCACAACACTGCAGAGTATCCATAATCGCTACTATATTGGAAAATTATTAAAGATTGTCTTCAAGAACCTTTATTCTTTCCATACTGGAGGAAAGAATAAAACTCGTTAATGCAACGAGTTTTGGTAAGTTTTTGTTTTTGTGCTTTAGCATTTAAGCACGGTGACGAAGAGCCGGAAACTGCGACACGAAGCAATTTAAGCCTTTATTTTCAACATCGTATACCTCTGTGTATTTTATGTTTATTATTTGGGTTTATATTGTTTTTAAAATATTGCCCTTTCTGGAAGAAGATTAAAGCGGCTTAGATGAACGTGCAAGCGCCATTTTGTTTTTCAGGTCAAGTAGCCCTGCAACAGACCTTGATTTTGACTGAAATTCATCCTTATTTTTGCCATGTGGACTAAAATTATATTTCTTGTGGCCTAGCCTGCAGGGCACAGTTTCAATTCCCCCTGAGAAGACCCTGGATTTCAGATGTGAATGTCGGAGCCCTCCCCTGTGATCTCTAGGACTGCTATTAGGACAAGGCATGGTTCCACCTTCACGGTAAACTCACTGCTACACCAAAGTAGGAATTTAACTTTTCTCTGAATAGATTAGACATGGACACTTGTGTGCAACTGATCACATCACGTAAGTATTTGCTAAGCTGAAGAACAATGGAAACACTGTTCTATTTTTGCAAATTATACTGTTTGACATTTGATATTATTTTGAGCTTCAAAGGATACTTGTATGATTAATTTAAAGTGCTACTATTGATTTAAGAAGGTGAATTGTGTGAAACGTGTGATTAGCTTAACCTTAAAATTAAGCAAACATGAAGTGTATTACCCAAAATCATACTAAAGAAAATAAAAACAAAATAGAAATAAAATTAGATTAGAAAAACATTTGAACATAAAACCTGTTATTTCAATCCTTGACACAAAAAGGTGTTCTAAAGCTACCATATGCAAATTAATGTGCCTAAACTCATTTAACTGTTTGTCTTGTCTTTTGCCAGCTGTTATCTATGTTGCTTTGATCATGACTATTACACCAAGTTTGCCAGTAGCAAATCTAGAACTGCTCCAATCGTCTGTATTCCTCTGCATCAGTGCTACACATGCATATCCTACATAATATTTTACAAGGTCCGAGCTGTAAATGGGATTTTGGACCATACCTTTTTGCACTTCAGAAATCCCTGTACCTCTATCATGTTCTCTTCTACTCAGCTCACCTGCTTGATTCAATACAGCTCTGAAGACTATAGTGGCCTTGAAAAAGATTGATTACAACAGAAAAACCTAAACAGTCTACACGTTTTCATGGTTCATTGTAGCTTTAATGAATTGGGTGAAGCATGCAATGGCTCTTTGTTGAAACATGGTGTGTTGTTAATTGTGAAACTCTTTTATTCGTCATCTGCTTGTGTTGGTCTACTATGTCTTCTGAAGCGCACAACTAATGCAGCTGTTTACTAGAAAAATTGAAAGCGCTTCATGCCTCCTTCTGCTAACAAGCTTTATGGCACCTGCCCACTCTGCCAAAGGTTTCAAAAGCTGGTTCAATGACCAAGGTGTGACTGTGGTTGATTGGACACCAAACTTGCCTGACTTAAACCCCGGTGGGGCATTGATGAAGATGAGGCGCCAGACCCAGCAAAGCAGATGAAGGCGTATAAATAAATATATTTGTTAGAAGCCAGACATTTCTGTAGCCTTTCGTAATAATGTAATTTACTGAGACGCTGAATTTTGGGTTTTTATCTGTAAGCCATAATCAATATTAAAATATATAAAAACTTGAAATATTTCTATTTATAGAGAACCTAGTTAACACATAAATTTCAGCTTCAGAAATTATTTGCAAAAAATATCAAACTTTTCCCCGTATGCTAGTTTTTTTAATTTGCTGATATATGAATACAGTAGTAGGTTGTTAATTTTCAAGGGAACTTACAGATGTCTTAAGGAGCTTTGAGGATTTCAGGCAATGTGGTTAAAATATCTCATTCTCTTTCTAAAAAGAATGCCTTTTTTATTTATTTATTTATTTTTATTAGAATTCAAATCATTTTTCCCCAAATGTGTGTGAAGTTGTTGTCAGGAATATCATTGACCTATTTAAACACACGTTTTATGATTACACTATGAAATGGCTCACCAGTGCAGGTTTAAGCAGTGTGCTGCAGTTTGACCTCGTACTCCATTAACCTTACTGGGTATTTGAGCAACATGCATTCTTTTTGTCATTTCTGTTCTACGGAGGGATGAGGACACGGTAATATCCCCAGGCTTTATGCAGCATATCGCCACACAAAGAGCGGGCCTGTTGTGAATGTTTCCATTACTGTCCTGTTTGAATTAACCTTGCCAAGCCTGTTCTCTAACTCAGAGGCAGTTCTCACAGCATGACAGCGTTGTGTTAGCCAGTGGCTAATTCCTTCTAATTGAGTAATGACAACAATTCAGTCTAGTGACACCTGCACTAGAAGGTTAGTCCAAAGCCTTGCCAGCGCCACACTGAGAAACTAAGTCAAACCTACCTTGTACCACACAGTGCACAGCAGGTGATCTCCTCAAATCCAATAAATCTAACTGCAGGCATCGAACACACACACACGTCCGCACGCACGCACTCACACACACACACACACCACACACACACACATTGGTGTTGGCAGAAGCCACATCCTGCAAGAAGTTTTGGTTGTGGGCAGTTTGTTGTGGTCTTATCACAAAAATGCACTAGACTAAATCATAGCCTGTTCTTGTTGGGGATGAGCCCCAGCCATTGTTTGTGAAGTTATTACCTCGGTACACTGAACTTAATGTTGGGCTTAACACACTGAAACGACTGTTAATACACGTGGAATGGCTGTCTTCCTATGCTGGTGACTGCATTGGTCTTAACCACCCAGGAAATGATGCATTAAATTTTGTGGTTACATGTGCACAGGAAGTCTTTATCTTCAGACTGTAGTTTTCACAGCTTACAATAAAAAAGACTTTATGATGTGGCGGCTTAAAAAATGTCAGGATTTAAGTGTTTACAAGATTAGAACAAAAAAATACAAGTGTACAGATGAAATTACACGCCTTGGTCTTTACTTTTTTATTATTCCTATTTTTAATCTCACATTTAATGATGATAAAAAAATAAATGTTGATAGAAATGGTATTTAGACATTTCCATGCCAGGCCTTCATTAACTCTTCATTTCTCACCCTTCGGTTCAGTTCTTTTTAATTAGGTGAACTGTAACTCCTTATCTGCAACTCCTAAAGGCATTAAATTGAAAGAAAAAAAAAAGGAACATCCAAAAGCTTAACTCTCCATATGGCAGCTTTAGCCATCAAACATGTATATTTGGGCAGGAATAATGGAGCATATGCACGCTTAGCAGATTACTGTAAAAAACAAACAAACACAAAAACCGTTGGGAGAAATTCGAGGTTTATGCCATTTTGTGACAAGAATACAATTTCACTGACTGGCACATGAACAGATTCCATGATCAGTTAAAAAGCATGCACTTGGGGACATGAAGTAGCCCGTTGCTACTTTTTGTCAAAGATCTCGAGCTCTAGGTTTCACTAAGCATTCTTCATGCCCTTTTAATTTCATTCATGTGGCACTTAATAGGAACAGGAGCTTGGAGTGCGGCACCAAGGTACTGTTCTATCCATTAAATGTTCAACTGCACATTAAATGCATCTGTATCTTCATGTAAGTAGTTCAATCCATCAATATTATGGCTGTTATATTGCTTGACCATGGTCCAAGAGAGACCAATGATAATAAGTTTAGTTTGAACATGAAATATGGTCAACATCCACAGCCTTGTTTGTGCAATAGAAGAAGCAAAGAAACAGAAATCAATAAGTATTGCTATCGTAGAGTAGAACTGGAAGATGCTGCCAAAAATTAAATGTAATTTTATTTTATTTTTGTACATATTGGTCAATAAAGAAAACATTTTATTTTACTAAGGGAGGTAAAATTCAGATTGCTAATCTATAACAGACTGTTGTGGTGTGGTGATGAACACTTAGTGCACACAAAGATCACTGATCTTCTATACTTGCTGTTATAAGCTTGAGCTGTCAAGCTTTTAACAGTCAATGTTCAATGCAAATAATGTAGGAATAATTTCACTTGTTCTTTTCCTATGCCCAGTGTTTTTACAAAACAAGGTGCTGGAGGCTAATTATGTCATGTGCTTGTGTGTATTACAGAACCTAAATTTAGTTGAACCCTGAAGGTAGAAGGTGAATAAAAATATATTTAAAACCTAAACCAGCGGTGCTGCAAGGCAGAATGTCCAAAACGTGCTTTCAACACATTAACATAAAAATAAAACTAACATGATTATTACAACAAATTCACCCACACATTTGTGATGTCGAACACCGGAGCAAAAGAAGTCCAGATCAGCACAATTCTGTTTAAATCCTTCTGACATTCGGAAAACACTTTACAAACAACAGTTATCTGATCTCAGTTTTATTTCATTTGTTCATTTATTTTTGCTGTTGTCAGCAAGAGTTATCAAATGAACAACTTGGTCTAACCAGCCAGTGTCTAGTAGTGGATATGTCTAATCTAGAGGGTGGAAATGTCATTGTAGAAAATGTATTTTCATTACATTGCTCAATGCAATATAGATCTCAGTTAATTTGGGAAGTGAATAAATCCTGCTTTGCAGTAGCGGCCGATGGAGATATTTGTGGAATGGGAAAACAGATGTATAATGAAAAACTGCAGATTGAATTCTAACAACACAAGCATCCTGTTTGAAATGTTAATTATTTGATTTCATTTAAAGAAAAAAAAAAAAAAAACACACACACACAGACCAAATACTTGATTGCTGTGCATTAAGGCTTTGAACTGTAATCATTGTAGCTGATGTTTTTTTTCTCGACGTCAAAAAGCTTTGCATAGCCCTGCATCACACTCCTTGACCCAATTACACTGATAAAAAGAAACCAAACAAGACATAGCATATTAAAAAGTGCAATTTTTATTTTTTTTATTTTATGAGGCCTACGTTATTAAAAGAGAAGTTCACTCCAGCAGCCTCTCTCGGATGCAGAAAGGTTAATAACCAGATCGTTGAAGTCAGGACACTTTTGGATGAATTCCTGCTTAACAGTTCAGTCGGTGCATTTAACCTTTCCTGTCCCATGTTGCTGATGAGAAATGACTTGATCCTTCTCTGTGTACGGAAACATATTCTGACTCTGCATTCAGCAGGGTTGTGATGGCAACTTGCATTAACTTAGGGGTCATAGCAAATGTGCTCTGAAGATTGTTCTCCGTCAGCGTCCCCAACAGTGACGGGTCAGAAGTTAACCCTGCAGACCTCATAATGCTGAACATCACAGTTCACCTTTCAGCTTTTCTTTTTATATCATTGGAAAATGTCCATATGTGGCATCAGATTTTATTTTATTTTATTTTTCTGTGTGAAACTAGTGCTACAGACCAAGAACAGATTCTGAAAAGTTTTTGTGAATTTAAATCCTCCATTATTCTGCGCCTGGTAGGCTAGGA